CATACAACGTGGATTATGCGGCTAATCGTATAGCTCTCTCTTGTCCACTACCTTTGACAAGACCAGCCACGCAAGCTGTGCAGAACACAGATAAGCTTGGCTGCATCGAACGGCGAAGCCGAACACAACTTATCCTGAACGGTGACATCGGCTCACAGAAGCCGATCCATCCGGGATATTACGCCATCTTGCAGACAGCCACGCAGTGCGTCGTTAAGACGTAACCACCGCCGTTTCGCTAACTCGTGGTCAACGAAATCTTGTCGAGAACGAGGTTAGGCTTAACCAGTCGTAATCGTTACAGAATTCATAACAGTCTGAAACGTCGCCGGAGCATTCGTCAGACTCTCAATCAACACCTTAAACTGAAAGTGCCCGAAAGGCGTACGAAACGCTGTCTTCGGACGATCCTCCTCAGAAATCAGAATCTGATGATAACCTGACGTCAGATCCAATGAGGTGAAATACTGCGAACCACTTATAGCATCCAACAGATCGTCAATGCGAGGAATCGTACAGCGATTCTTCACAGTTATCGAGTTTAACGCTCGATAATCAACACACAGACGAAGACCACGCCCGTTAGGCTTAGGGACAAACAACACAGGCGCACCATACGGGGACTGAGGCACTTCCAGAATTCCCGCTTGTAAAAACGCAGTGACCTATTTTTCCAACTCACGATATTCCAACGGAGATAAACGGTACATCTGCCGAAACGTAGGTGGATGCCCTGGCTCAGCAGGAATACTATGACCTTCTGCACGTTCAGGAGGCAGACCAACCGGAAGAGGATCCTGAAACACGTCAGAAAACTCAGACAGCAAATCAGAAACCCATTTCTTCTCACTTGAGACTGGGTCGCTCGGTTGGGCTGGTTGTACGGTTGGCTCAGACAGAGTAGTGGCATGATCTTGGTTGCCCCCAATTCCAGAGCCTGCTACGGTACTGGTAGCACACGTGGCAGCAGTAGAACACGTGGCAGCGTCTGGACCAATCGGCTTCAATGATGCCAGGTACACGCTTGCGCCACGCTTCATCAGCCGCTTCAGCTGCGAATGTGACAACACATCGGGATTAGACTTCTCATCATCGTCAGAACGTGAACGAAGAAGAGGAGGACTTCGCACAGTCAAATGTCTTTTCCCTTTCTGGATCATGACAACACTTTTGCCATAATGCAGAATGCAGTTATATCTAGTCATGAACTCATCTCCCAAGATAAGATCAACCTCGAACAACAGGTTCATGACATAGCATTTCACAGGCTTGTGAAACGCTCCTAACTGCACATACACAGTTGCCTCACCCAGGATCTCGCCAACAACGTCATCTGCCAGACGAACTTTCTGAGCAGTAGAACTTACCGTTATGCCTGTCTGCTTAGCAAATTTGGCAGAGACAAAATTCACTGACGCTCCAGAATCAAACAAGATGTTGGCCTTCTGAGCAGCTGCCTTACCAGAAAACATCATTCGTGGCAACTTAGCTGAGCCCTTTCGTGAAGCTGCGAGAATCTTGCTTGTTAGCAAACCTGCTTCA